ATTATGTCTGACCATATCATGACAAGTGACAACACTTCAGTTAGTAATACCAGTAAAATATCATATAAGTCTAGGCAAAACATTAAGTATTCAATACACTGAAAAAGAAAAATGAACAAGCAAGTTAAACAATCCAATGATTGCTGATCACTGAAACGTGACAGAGTATAAGACCAATAATACAATACACATATAAACTCCTTCCTCAATGACAGAACACACAATTGTTATTCATTAATATGTGCATGCAGTTAAACAATGTCATGATTAACAGCAGTCAACATGATTTTCCCCCTTCTGTGTGTCCATTCTTTCCTTGTAATAAAATATCCTTTTATCAAAAAGTATAAAAGGTATATAACAACTAACTTGATAGCCTTCTTGAAAACCTATGAACTAGATAGCATTGAATTCATTTCTAAGTCAATAAACATAGCGCTAAAACATCTAATACAAAGCATACAACACCTTCAATATAATAACATCTCTGCTTACCTGGTATTCAGCTCGTTCTGCAAGAAGAATTAAAACCTTGCCAATTTCACGCAAAACAAGAAGAGTTAACCGGGCATCCATCTGAACAGCTTCTATTTCTTCCTGGATGCGTGATATGATTCTTGATATTTGTTCCTTGGAGGGAACACTACCACGACTGGACATTGGGAATACAGAATTCACCAGATCTGACAGGCGACTCAAGCAATGTGCCAAAAATGCATTCTGAAATATTTCGACAGCTGAAATTATCTGCTCTTTTCCAGATGAATTGATAGCTGGTAACATTCCTTTGACATCTGTGTCATGTGAAATTCTTTCAAGTAAATTCTCTATCATGGAGTAAAGCTTTGGATATCCCATTGTAAAAATCTCTTTAACAAAACTTGATGCAGTGAAAGCAGACTTCATTTGGCTTGCAAAAGACTTCGTAATGGCCTCCCACACACGATCTGTTAGCATGGCATCACCTTCCTATCAGCAGCAGTCATAGTCAGAAAATGAGAAAAGAAGTCCCGTAGAAAAGAAAAAAGTGCAAACAACAGATGTTCCTCAGTAAGAAAGCTCAATACTGTAAAGTATAATGGGTCATGAAAACACCAAACCCCCTAAGAAGTCCATTGAATCTGTTTATTTGCACATGTATAAGATCATATCATTTTTTAAACCTAGGACAACAGACCTTACTAAAAAAATGGCAACTTCTCCATACATCCAACTCATTGATCACTTTATTCCACTCTGAATACATACAGATGATTAGATTTTTAAAAGATTGCATATTGATCTCATCCAATTCAATGCAATCCATTTAGCGGTGTTTGATGCATCAGAAGAGTATGGTTAGGCAAGAAATTTTACAATTTCTCTACCCTGCATCCCATACAGCACACTGAAGAGAGAATCGCCTTTGACAGTATAATGTTGCAGAAAAGCTAGAAGCCTATTTAAATAATTCTACACAAAAGAGAAACAACAAGAAATTAACCATGATCTCCTCACACTCTCTTAACTGATATATTTGTAGTACAATATAGCACAAGTTACCCCCTGCCCCTTGGCATATGTTAACCATCACTTTACAGTTCACAGCATACCAGGTTAAAAGAAGACAACAAAAAGAGATTTAGAAGTCTGGCAAATGATTTGTATTGCACAGCAAATTCTTTGATTGAGAAAAAAAAAAAAATTGCATTCCAGGGTCTCTTAAAATTTATAGATCTATTACACCAGTGCAATAGATTCGTAGATCTAGTCATGGCAGTTTCTTTGGAACACAATTAACATATATGCATGCAGAAATTAAGAATAACCTAGACTCAATACAAAGTTTTAACATAATCCTCTATTTCATCCATCTGTTTAGGAAAAGAATAGCACCCAATAAACTAATCAAATCACCAGGATTGAAAAAATGAAAATAAAGTAACTTATTTGAGATAACAACTTCTACAAATTCCAAACTCCAATTCAACCACCAAGATTTGGCTCGCCAATTACCTAAGCCACAAGGTATTTGTTACACAATTATATTGGTAAATCGATTCCAGGGGAGAACCAACCCAATATAATCACAATAGCATCTACCTATCTCCATATTCAGAGGACAGACAATAATTTCTAGTGTTATGCAATGGATGCAGATGAGCATATATGAATCCAAGGCAAGCAACAACATAATCTCCTTCTGATGCAAACAAACAACAAAAACAAGGCCTCACCTGAATGACCTCATCAAGCAACAAAACATGGGTAAATGGATCCCGTTTCTTAGAGAGCACTCTCTGCAAATGCCACACGGCAACAGCAATGGAATGCAACTGATCCATGCAATTCCCCAGTCTATGCCAGAGAGCCTCTCTAGCCTTAGCCCCTCCGCCAATGTGCGGCGTGGCAGCGCCCCTAATCCCGCCGGGACCGAACCCTCCACCACCGCCGGAAATGGCCTTCATATCCAACGCCACACTCACACTCTTAGCACCCAAACCCTTGTACTTGTTGACCACCTGTTCCACAGTAACCCTCAATTCTCCGAGATTGTAGAAAACCTGCAAGCCGGTCCCAACTTCGGCCTGATTCAAGCCTTCCATTCCGCGTTCGAGAAGCTTCATGGCCTCGCTCCGGAGCAAATCGCCGGTGTCCCTGACCCAAGCGACCTCCTCGTCCACGACGTCGATGCCGGCGAGGTCGTACTCGGAGCAGAGGCTGAGGATCTCGAAGTGGAGCTGCGCGGCCTTGGCGAGGTCGAGCTTCTCGGGGTCGGCGGCCATGAGGTCGCGGAGCTTCTTGGAGAGGCGGAGGGCGCGGATGGAGTGCTGGAGGAGCTCCGTCGTGCGGTGGAGGTTGGAGAGCTGCGCGGTCTTGGCGGCGACGGAGCGGTGGGGGTCGGAGAGCTCCGATCGGAGGCGGCGGACGGAGGACTGGAGCGAGGAGAGGGCGGATCGGAGGGTGGAGAGGGCGTGGTCGGCGTGGTGGAGGGAGGAGAGCTGCGAGAGGAGGTCGTGGTGCCGGGAGAGAACCTCCGACCGGAGCTGGTTCTCCAGGAGGCGGATCGCGTGGTGGAGCTTCTCCGCGGTGGAGGCGGGGGAGCCGGAGGAGAGGGCGGCGGAGGAGAATGAGGTGGAGGAGAAGGACGGGGAGAGGAAGGCCGAGAAGATGGGGTCCGAGGCCAGCGAGTCCAGTGCGGAGGACGTGGGGGTGGCGGCGCTAGCCGTGGAGGGAGGGTTCTTGAAGGTGGAGAGCCGTTGGATCGGTGAAGCGCTGGCGGAGACCGGCGACCTTGCCGCCGCTGGTGACGCCATTGTCATTTTCGATTCACTCGGATACTTAGTTTCGTTAGTCTCCACCCCTTCTTTTGTTTATGTAACTGCTTCCTTGTGTCATGTGTGTTTTTCTGATTATTAACTTCTTCCCTCTGTTGTGTCTAATTATTTTCTTTTAATATAATTATTATTTGTGCTCCTTGGTTACTGGTTACTTACCATTCCCATGTGATTTTTATTTTTTTTTCTAATGGTTTCTATTTGAATTTTGTTTCCTAAATTTTTAATTGTCCTATATGGTTTTGTTGGATGTGGAATTCAGTTTGGAAGATGAAATGTTTAGAATCTTTTAATTTTAGATAGAGTATGGTGTTTTTATTAGTGGGTTTTTAAGTGAAATTAAGTTTAAAGTGATTTAATGAATTCAGATTATATAAAAAAATTGAAAATATAAATAAGAATTTGATAATTTTAAGTAAAAAAAAAAGAAGGAAAAAACTTAATTGTAAAATAGTTAAAAATTGAATAAGTTGATTATAATAATAACAATTAAAAAATTTTAAGATTGTTTTAATCTAACCGATAGTCTTGATTTTAGGTGTTTATTAGGTATACATGTTAATTAGTATGAGGTGTTATAATTTAACTAATGGTCTCAAGATTAACATCATTGAGCTATAAATTATTTTGACCTCAAATTTATTAATAACGATTTCAAATTTGTTTATAATGTTAAGATATTACTGTCTCTAAAATTTTACATGTTTAATCACTCATTGGACTTTCACATATTTATCCTTTAAATGATGTCTTGGGAAGAGATTATAAATTTGGTGTTAGGAGAGTTATGAGCATGATCACCTAAGTGCTTCTTTGACTTGGTATTTGCTCGCATCAAGGTACAAATCCTTTGGCCAACTTCATAGATCACATAATGGAGCTCACTATGTGAATATTTTTCTTATATAAACAAGTACAGATTTTAACCTAACTCATTATTCATTAGATGTTAGAGTTTCGTTTATAAATATCTTTATTACCAAAGTTGTGGAGAAGAAATCATTTTTTTCAGCTTACTTAAATACTTGCAAATTATGATAAAAATAAAAATTTATGTAAAAATATCTTTGATATAAATTATTTATTTTTTCCACTCTCTTTTTTTTTTTATATATATATATCCGAACAAGTGAAGACAAATTTTTTCATTCATTTTCTTCTTACTTTTATCTATTCAAACAATATATATCTTTCGATCCATTTCTTTTTTATTTCTATTGCTTTCATTCAGTTCCTTCCTTCTTATTTCATTCTTGTTTATTTCTAATCCAAACAAAGTATCACTGTCTCCCTACTGTAATGCACTTCCATTTTTCAAACCCCGTCCGTCTTCAATTAAAAAAGATGTTAAAATGCTTAAAGGAAACCAGTCCTCTCCTCGCATGGCATCCAAATAAATTTATAAAAAAAAAAAAAAAAAAAAAAAAGTGAAACCGCTCCAATTATAGTTGTTCAAACCCCCCCCCCGCGTGGGGCAAAAAAAAAAATTAAAAAAAAAAAAAAAAAAAAAAAAAAGTGAAACCGCTCCAATTATAGTTGTTCAACAAACAATGTTTCATACTAATTTCCAAATCAATAAATAAATACAAGTTGCAGGAAGAGGCGAAATTGTAATGCATGCTAGGGAAATCTATTCATCAGAATTCATCATGTATGACTATATATGCTCTTCAAATATATATATAAGAAAGTAAGCAGAAAAGAAGTGATTAGAAACATAATCTTTGAAGGTATATATAATTATTAATTGGGTTATGAATTAGTAAGAGAGTAGTAAGGAGAAAGAATAAATGAAATAAAGGGTATATATAGATTGATGATGAATTCAGAAGTGGCAGCCACAACAAAGGTAGAAGAAACAGAGGGTGGAGACAAGGACTAGAGCCTCAGCTACGGAGAGTATCTTGAAAACCACGGTGTCCATGATGGTCGTTTGAAGGTCCAATCTTTTCCACCGAAACACCTTCTTCAGCCACAACTTGCTCTTCTTCTTCTTCTTCTCAATCTTTTCCATCAAACTAACTGAAAACTCTTTTCTCTCTCTCTCACTCTATCTATGTAATTTGGACACGCCAAATGGGGTATGAGGTGTTGTTTATATATAGAATACTGAGGTGAGATAGGTTGGCATGGCATGCTTTGCTTTGGATACTTCAAAAGACAACCATGTTGATGTTCTTACTGGTTACTGGTTACTGGCTGGCCCATCAATAGGTTGGACCGTTCAACCCTAAAAACATTGCACTTTTTTTCATTTTCTATGTTATATATGGACACTTCTTTGCTCTCTCTCTCAATCATTCAACGTTGCACCAATCTTCTTCCACATTTTTCTAGTTTCCGTTATAATCGTAGATTACTACATTTTAAAATTGGGAAGGTATGTGAAAGGTCTATGAGATATTTGCTTTTCGTTAAAAAACGTTGAGAATCTTGAAAAAAAGAGTGGAGTTGTTGCTTTCCATATTTTCTTTTTTTGTTACATGTAATTCAAGAAATTTAATTACTATCTAAAATAATTATAACATAGTAACACTCTTCTTTTCTTGAATAACTAATTCTATATCAAAATTAGAAGTAGAGGAGTTGAGTAGCATATATGAAATCATACGTTTTTATTTTGTTGTAAAAAAAAATGTTAGAATATAAGTAATTATAAATAATGTTTGAGATGAAAAGGAAGAATTTAATATAAAAATGAATATTTGAAAATATTGAAGTTGAGATTTTGGGTCCAAATTAATCATAAATATCTTGCACGGTAAGTAAGCATGACATGACAGCATGGTAGAGTGTTGGACTTAACTCAATGAATTTTGTTTCCTCATATACAAGCTTTGAACATGCATGATACATTTTTTTTAAAGAAAAATTAGACTGTAGACGTACATATTACCCGTAGTAATTAAAGTTGAGATTGGAAGAGAAAAACTATCAATATGAAAGCAAAATTTTAAAATAATTAATATTTGAAAAAATATTAAATAATGATTAAGTCACGCTTTACAAAAAAAAGGGGGGGATTTAAATTTATACTATATATATAGAGAGGTTGATAAATGAATATGAAGTGATTCAAATTACATTAAGTTATGTTTATAACTTGATCCCTCTCTCTCTCTCTAAATTACATGTGATCTTTCCAGCAAACCCTTGCAAAAACCGAAAGCAATGTTATCTTTCCAGCAAATGTCACCAATATAGAATTTATTATGCCTACATATTATTACTTTATGAATTTATTTATTTAGACATGAAATCCTTCAACCCTGTATTTTTGTATAAATGAATTGTTTATAAATTAAGACAAATTTGTTAGGAGAAAACATTTTGCAAAGATATTTAATTAATTTATATATAGTTCATCCACATCAATGAGTGAGTGATTTTGAGTTGCGTGGAGCACCTGGTTTTTCGCATTGTTGTCGATAGTGCAATGCATGATGATAAGACTTTGTTCGTTCATTTTCTTTTCATCCTATCTTTTAATCATGACGTTGGAGTGAGTAATCAAGAAAATTACACCATAGCTAACTAGGCTTTCATCTTTCTTTGTGTAATTTTCTCTTTATTCCTGTCACTCTTTCAGTTTTGGATACCTGCAGAGAAGTCTCAAAACAAAAATCCAACGACAAGAACAAGAAATTAAAATACATAATGGACCGATTATTTTTTATGATCAATGATCTTACGAAATATAAGAAAACTCATCTGTATATGCTAAAACTTTCGTCTTTTATTAAACAATTCTTAAATTAGGATTACGTACTAATATGAATATCTTTTCTTCTTAAACTACTCAAATGCATATCTTAATTCCTTGTTAAATTGTTCCTACTTCTACTCAACTAGAGGTTGATATAATTTGACATTTGAAAGACGTGACTAGAGGCTAGAGCCTCATAATCCGATCAATGGCGATTAAAATTCTTCACCGGAATTAATTGCAAATTTAATTGTCATTATGGCTGAGTTTGAAAAAAATTAACTTGAAAAGGTAAAATAAATGAAATATTTTTTATTAACTAAAATTAATTTATGTATTTTTTTTTAATAACTCATCCAACATCTAAAAATATAAAATAAAATAAAATAAGATGCATGAATTCATTTTAACCAAAGAGTATTTATAATTTTCAGTTGGGCTGAAATTTACATTTTAAAAAAGTTATCGATCCTCGTAAATATTGCATTTTTTTTATTTATCAAATTCTGAGATTAATGTTAATCACTAATACAAAATAGGAGAATGATTGTCAAAAGCTATAGCCACAACAGTTTGGTCACTTCCGCGCTTTGAGCTTATTGGATATTATCCTACAAAATTGAAATAAGTGACCAATGTGATAAAATAAAACATGCATTCTTAATATTTAATTCATCATTCCAAATAGTTGTTATCGTTATATTATTGATCTTTTACGTACCTTTAATAATATATCGTTTGTTAACGTAGTCATCAACACTCCCTCGGTCTATTCTATGTAGAAATAATAACAATAAGCTTTTATTATATTAGAGTTTTGCTATAAATTTAACTATGAAATTTATTGAAATATTTTTTAACAAGATACACTAAAAAACCATTAAAATAAGTTAAAAGGAACTTAAACAAATGATGACATGTTTTTGTAAATTTAATTAGCTCTTCTAAATACTCCTTATATTATGAATTAATAAATAACTATTATAATAAAGATAGTAATGTTTTCAGAAAATATCTAATTCTCAAAAGAAAAAGAAAAAGAAAACCCAATGACGTCCTTTCTTGAGAAAAATCTTAAAATATCTATATAAAATATCTCCGAGTTTTTTTTCAACCGACTTGGTGCAAAAACTTTTATTATCAATTACTCATAGTGTCATATAGATTATTATATAAAACAATATTTTGAAATAATAGTTCTGAAAGATTTTTTTTTAATGAAATAATAATACATGATTAAGTGAGTCTATTAAATAAAATTTTTAAAAAATTAAATCTAATTAATATCTTTGGATCATTATTACTTTTATATGTTATCTCGATCTCGATATATATAAAATAGACAGATTTCATTCTTTTCATTAAAACTTGATGTTTCTTTTCATCTCTTTGTTTTTTTTTTTTTTGTATTGAGAATTAGAATTATTGATTGGAATATTTTTCTTTTGTTCTTCGTGTAAAGTACAAGAACATTCCTGTAGTTATTATTATTATTAGCAGTAGATGACATGGGTGTTATTTTCATCGAAACAACATTGTGCAAGATACATGTTATGTGTTGGATACCCCTTCTACCTTTGTCAATTATTTATCCACCAAGTCATTTTCTCTTGAATTTTCAGCAATTTTTTTTTCTTCTCATTGCAGTGTGTTGAAAAAGAAGAAAAAGAAAATTTGAGATTATTTCATTGGTTCCCTAATTTCACTTTGGTAGGGTCCCTCCAAAAGGGGTGGGGCATGTCCCATAAAGTTGCTTACTTGTTATCCAACTACTACATGTGTCAATTTGTAATTGCATAACGGCTAGTATACCATTAAATATATAACTTCATTAACAAATAAATATATATATTATAAACAAACCTTTTTCGAGATGACCGTTTCAAAAAAAGTAGCAAGATACACGACATTTGCCATTTGGCACTATAAATATTTTGTTACTCTTTTTCTTTTTCTAATAATTTCTTTGACATTTATTCTAAATTAGTATTTTATTATGTGGATGCCTAGATTAAATATTTATTGTGTATAATTTAAATTTATAATAAATTATATGTATAAATATTATGGAAGAT